GTTCATCCGAAAAAAGCAACATTACATTCGGAACGACCTAATATTATCTTCAAGTTGAAAGAAATGGCATCTCAATCACAACTCAAATCCGATTTTAATTCTGAAAGCATGAGCATATCCAATGTCCACTGCTTCATATCTGCCGTCACAATTAAGCAAGAAGAGAACCCATTATAGCGTTGTTATAGCTTAAGTGGCTTTTCAACTCATTATTGTTGTTATAACTTACCGTGCGTCGTCAAACTCATTGCAGATGCTTTCATTTGGTACATTAAACTGATTTTTGTTTTATTAGGCTAAAAATGTCAGAAAACACACTATATAAGATATAGCATCTTGGCAAGTTTGCTTAAGCAAAACTTCGGTCTTGTCATTTTTGTTAACACGTTGACGACAATGCGCATTTTTAGTTGTCTCTCTTGTGGGACAATGCCTTCCACGAATGAGTCGAAAATTTCTAGCTAAAATCAAACAGATCGTCATCTCAAATATATCCACACAAATTCTTGAAAGCGGCCAAGAAACGTCAAGGTATTTTTTGGGTTAGAGCGTAAAAGACCACAGGAAACGGATGTACCCAGTAATTGTTATTATTTCAAAAAAATTTATGCCGTGACCCACCATGTGGGTCACATTGTCCCACGTGGCAGTCATTGCATGACCCACCATGTGGTTCACGTTGTTATCAATGTGTTAACATCAATTTAACCTAATAGCGACTTTTCATTTTATTCTTGTTCTATTTCCTCGCTGTAATGTAATTTCTCGTGTGCATAAAGTGCGCTAAAATTTTAGGAGTGTGTCTTCTTCAGTGTGAAACACATTTAAAACTAGCAGAACGAGAGATAAAAACTGTTTTATGTCTATGACACCTCACCATTATGAGGCTATGGTATAGTATAATTTGAGCTTTTTATTTGTAACTTGGAACCTACAAAAAATCTAGGCGACGAAGCTGCACACAACACGCAGGTTGTTTCAAAAATTCGCTTTGCGTTTCCATCAATCTTGCTTTTGTCATTCAAAAAAAAGCAACATGGTAGACAAGTGTTCGGCTACAAGCAGCTGCAAAGAAGAACTTAGGATCGTCTAGCAAAAGATTATCAAGATATGTTTATGTCTTCTATCAAAAATCTGCAAGTAAAACGCATGGAAAGGAAACAAAAAATGACTTGAAATTGTGTTTGAAACTGACTTTATCAGCCCTAGAACTAGATGTTTATCTCAAAGTATCTGGAGGGGGAATGCTAGAGACAATGGGGCCACTAAAGTGCACTGACATGCGCAGTTTTCTTTTGACTGTTCTAAAAGAAATGGCTTTGGACAACAGCATTCACAACGATGTAGTGGCGCACATATTCGGTACGATGTTGATAAACGATGTTGTTGCAAAACTGCCCATCTGCCTTCCTTATTTGAAAATAAAGGTGATAAATTGTGGGATTTTTGGTCTAAAAGACATATACGCCGTACAAAAGTGACAAATCATCAATTAGACCGCGCGTGAAGTTAAAGACAAAAAAAGCATCAAGGGATGAGAAACAGGCAGTTTGGCGTCAAATTTCAGCCCTACTGTGCAGTTGGTATAAGTACGACACGGCGGGACCCCAGCGCCTCATCCGGGATTTCAAATTTGTGTGCAGTAACACACGTCACCGAGGTGACTAGACGGATGACGCCTACTATGCATGATCGCACTACTGAATGTAGTGCCTTCTGTGGTCGCGAGAGTCGGTGTTTTTACAGCCATTGTATGCGCATTGAGATTTCTCAGTTATCTTTTTGCTTTCAAGCGTTTCTGTCATCAGATATTATCTAGCAATTACCTGAAAAGATTCTGAAAAGTACGGAATTGTTTGACTGGTTTGAGCGCTTGTGGGATCCTGCGCGTACAATCGTCGCAAACTCACCAACTCTCGCGATCACGGAGAGACCTAAACACAATCACTTGTATGAGAGGATCCCAGGAGGTGAGGTTTGCATTTCACTCTCATCATTTTTTTTGTTAGTTGGAGAGATAGCAAGTGTATAGTCAAATGTGGGAAATTTTGAGTATTTTGGGACAGAGATACGATTATTGACACTTAAAGGCAACGTCCACCCACAAAATCACCTCCCAAGTTTTTGCCACTCTGAGGCCTTTCCGCGAACCTGATTACCGTGAAGTTTAGATTGTCCGAAACTCCTCAAAAACCCGTTTCCTGGGGCATTGTCTTGAGGGCGCTGACGACTATCGGTACAAGGGTGGGCGGAGCTTGATAGTATCTGGGTGTAGCTTGATAGCACTTTGGCTGTTCCAGGCCCATTTTTTCTTGCAAAGAAAACACTAGAAGACCGGACCAACGCAGATGCTCCTCTCTTGTAGCCAACATTCAGGATCGGTACTATAGGAGGAGGTCAGATTCAGCCTGGACACTGCCTTTAATCGCGTTTTCAACTACTGTCAGACTCCAACTCTATAGTTCATGTGGAATACGATTTGAATGGAGCTTGGTAATTACCTTGTAAAGCTTGTTATCCTCTGTCGAAAGTTAACTGACTGAATAAAAATCAAAAGATAGGCAATGATTCTGGTAAAACCTAGACGTTAGTTCTGGAAACCGGTAAGGAATCATGAGACCTAAGCCTAATATCAAGTTGATATGTATTATCATACCATATTGTATGCCAGAGATATCTTATTATCTCAGTAGATGGCGCTTCCGGTCCTGCCCGGGAATTTGGCTACTTGATCACAAACGCGTTGAGACCTACCGCCCTTCTCCATATCTGCGGTGAAATGTGGTATGTCTTTTTTGCTGATTTGAAATACCGGATCCTCGGAGAAAAGTAAATAAACTTTACCGGCCGACTTACATGACTATGAGGAAATGATCCAACAATGGTTGGTGGACCCTCGATGTGAGTAAACAAATTGATAAACCGATTGAAGAGTCCAACCAATCGTTGTAAAAAATGGCCTATCTTGTGCCACCTTATTTGTAGGGGGACGAATTTTAGCCTCATCGGTTCACACACAAAAGAATCCAAAAGCCTCATACTTACTAACGAACAAATTTACAGAGTTTCGGTTTTATATATACAGGGTGTCCCAAAGAAATGTATCGAATGTTTGATATCGTTAATATCTCTCTTCCCGAGAAGTCTTTTGCCTTGCTTCAGGTACCGTTTTGCAGAGCTGGCTTCAACCTAGATCTGCATTATAGAACGAATCACCCATCCCTCTTCAGTACTGTAGGATTACGGTAGAAACTTGAAACATATGGTGTCAATGTGAAAAAAGCTGCCGTTTCAAAATTTTTCAAAAAAAATGTGAAAGCTTGTGTATTGGGGTTTTTATGGACGCTGAGTTCAATACTCAACTATTCACAAGATTACGAAGCTCTTTAAAGGGTGTAACCGCACTTTTTAGAAACATTGAAAAAATGGCTACCTCTTACCTGGCATAACTCTTCAATGAAGCATCATAATAAATTGAGAACTTCACAGTTATAATCAGCAAGTCTAATTAGCCTAGTGTAAAAGTTCAAGCCGTTTTGCTTCCTTTCTGGGGCAAAATATTGCCTTTCATTGTTTAAAACCCTCTTTGAAGTTTCTACCGTTATCCTACATTAATGAAGAGGGATGAGTGATTCGTTCTATAATGCAAATCTAAGTTGAAGCCAGCTCTACAGATTGGTACCTGAAGCAAGGCAAAAGACTTCTTGGGAAGAGAGATATTAACGATCAAACGTTCGATACTTTTTTTGGGACACCCTGTATATATACAGGGTGTCCCAAAAAAATGTGAACAGTGTTTGATCGTTAATAACTCCGTTGCTTTCATGTCTTTCGCCGAGCTTGAGGCACCATTCTGTAGAGCAAGGTTCAAATTAGATTTATAGTATGGAGCGAATCACCGGTCGCTGTTCGTTACTGTAGGATTAAGGTATGAACTTCCAGCATGTGGATCTATTGTGAAATATGCCATTTGACAAAATTTTTTCAAAAAATCTGAAAAGTCCTGTACCAGGGTTTTCGCGCACGATGATTCCATTAGACAACTTTTTACGTGTGCTTTTGGCTTTTTTGACGGTGTAGTCACATTTCTGACAAATGCTGGAAATTCATTATTACGGTTTAGCTGGGATAACCTTGGAAAGAAGCATCACAGTAAAGTGAAAATTTCGTATTCGAACTCAGCGGCTTCCATTACCATTGTATAGAAGTTTTTGGCTTGTTTGGTTTTGTTCCGAGGAGAATATGGCCTCCAATGGCCTAAAATCTTTGCCGAAGTTCCTACCGTAATCCTACAGTAATACAGAGCGATCGACGGTTCGCTTCACACTGTAGATCTAAGTTAAAACCCCGCTTCATAGAATAGTGCCTCAAGCTCGGCGAAAGACATGAAAGCAGGGGAGTTATTAACTATCAAACAGTGTTCACATTTTTTGGGACACCCTGTATATCAGTGGCGGTCGCAGGATTTCGGACCGGGGGGGGGGGGGGGAGGCGACAAAAATTTTTTCAGATGAAGGTGCGTGGCGTTAGCCACGCACTCCGAAATTTTTTTTTGGGGTGCTTCTCAAAATTTTTGCTGGTCCCCAACCCCTAAAATCTGGAAAAAGGGGGCGTGGCGTCAGCCATCCTCCCCCCCCCCCCCCGAAAAAAACTTTTTTGTAAGGCTAATTTGAATTTTGAAAAGATTTTTAAAAACATTTTAATTATTTACAAAAATAAACAAGTCGTTTGCACATTTTTATAACCCATACAGGTAAGTTTCAAAAAAAGCGACCCATTCCTCACATTCTCTCATTCTGCACATGTACCATGCTTGAGTCGCTGTTTCAGTGAAATGAAACACAGTAAAGGATACAGAAACATATTTTCTACCTACTGGTGTGAGTTGCGAGTGTTGTGTTTCCTTCAACATTGTTTGAACAAAAACATACAATTCAGCTTTTGAATGATTAGGTGACAGGTAATTTTGAAAATGTTTGATTGATATTCAATTTGCTTACCAGCTTGTAAATATTTCCTCCTTCTGGCAAAACATGATTTTCATTGCTTATCCCCTTAGCTTTCGCTACTTTGCTTCGTATGTCGTTGTGATCATGTAAAATCACTTCCACACGTTTGAGCGGAGTCGATCCTTCGAAGTCACAAGGGTACTCATCAGCGAAAATTGTGCCAAGTGTCTAAAAAGTTTTCTATTGCATCAAAAAGAAGCGAAATTATAGAAGAATAGCAAAGCACATACCAAGTATTCACCTCCGACATGCAAGAATACAAGTGTGAATGTAAGTGCATTAACCATCTTTGCCTAAACCTGTGCACAATAAAATATCATATACTATAATAATCAATTGGGAATTGATACTAACAAAGACAAATGGCCGAAGCTGCGTTGCGAATGAGACTGCTGTCCGAATCGCATGTCCACAGCCACAGTCACCTCGAAGGGCGTGGAAAGTGCAATGAGAAAGTTGGAATGGTTTTTATAGTATGTGCTGAAGGGCTAAAGATGCAAAGTTTGTAGAAACTGACGAGTAAAGAAGGAGAGGCAGTGGTGGACAAAGCAATTCGGCAGCCCATAATCTTTGTAATATGAGCAGAAATAGTGCGTAAATAGTGCGTTGAGTAATAACGTCATTTTTGCAGATAGAAACGATTTCTTTGAACAATTTTAGGCCTCCCAATAGTCTTGATTTCCTTGAATGGGAAATTAGTGGTAAATCAAAACGAAGAAGAATTGCATTTTGTGAAACATCTTCGGGCACCATTTGTCTTACCATTTCATATGGTAAGACATCATCAAACTCGTTGAATTGGGTTGGTATTTTTGGAATTATTTTAATGCAATATGATTAGATTCAACCCTAGCAATGCGTCATTTCACATCTAGTAATTTGGCTATTCCATCCTTATAACCTCTTCTGTGTGTTTGTTTCTTACTTCATTAAAAATATCAGCAGATATCATTATTGAAAGAATTGAACTCAAATCATGGTAGTGGGAAAGTAAGGCACACCTGACCTACGATTTAGTCTTCTTCATAGCAGGAGAAAGTTCCCTTTCATAAAAACCATTTACACCGTTAATGGCTCACATGAATATGAGCAGATCGTTTATTCAAGCTTTTTCTAAAAGTAGCAGTAAAGCGGGCGTGACGTGTTTGATCGATCAGCCAATCATCGTTCAGTTTGGGCACTTCGCTAATAATCATGACTTATAATAACGGGCTAAGGGTTGTTTACGTCTTTTTGTGTGTCTGTGTGTCTGTCCGTTACGAAATTCGTAGAACATGTTCCAGCCAACCTCCTGAGCCCAAATTTTGCATAGCGCATGCTACCAGCATGAGAGTCCAATTTAGTAAAGCTTGAGCGGATCCGTCCAGTGGATCCGTTAAAAATTGCGCGCCAAACGGGTCCACCTGGATTCTGTACCGCAAAATTCGGTCCGTATCACCACTTTTTGCAGAGTCGTGAATGAGTTTGGTAAGCAAATGTGCAAGCGATGGAGTTTAGCCAGAAAAGTGGTCGAAAGTTTACTACATAACGAAAACGGTGCCAAAATGAATTGGTTGTGTAAATGGTCCACTTGCCAAGGTTCTAGCCAAGCGTTTGAGAAGATTTTCGCACAGAGATGTAGCTCACGGTTATCATTACCTTTATGGCGACTACCAAGCCATGACAAATCCAAAAACCTATTCAAATTTGCGTTTGTCTTCCTGCGAAAAGTTTCATCCACTCGAAATCACCGATCTCACGTGAAAAGACTTTCTAAATGAGTGGTTGTTTACATTTTATTCGTGGTAGTCGGCATAGCGCGGTGAGTTCCAGTGCCACGATTTTACGAGAATGAGTAAGGCACATAGATAGTGGAGCCAGTGCGAACCTCTGCGAAGCAGAGGTTCGCACTGGTCATTAATAAGGGCGATACCTGATAGAACATATGCGCCACTCCTTCAAGCATTATCTTTATAGTAAACCTGTGGCAGTATCAAGCAACTTGAAAGTGATAAAAAGAAGCATTACGCTACAAGACAACGGTTTAAAATGGTAGATAATAGAAAATTATACTTTGTTTCATCAGAACAACCAAGTCTAAGTTTTGTTCGTGCAGTTTTGCGAAGTCGTAAAACAATTCTTGGTACGTTATCGTACTTAGAGACATATTAGAAGGATGTCATTGATATAAGAATAAACTGCAGCAACGTTTTTACGACTCTCTAAAACGTATGTACTATCATAAACCGTTTTGTTAGATTTTAGAAGCTTCAAAGGGTAATAATTAAGCTCCGGCAAAAAGAGAAACTAAAAAAAGATGAAAACTGGAACCTCAGGACATTATCCGGAGAGACATTCATTGTCCTAAGACTGGTGACAACTGGATTGCGGCCACCGACGAGAGTGCATGGATGCATTCGAAGAAAAAAACGTCGTATGTTGCAATGTTTTCTTACTGATGTCCAGATGTGATTTTTTTTACAAATTCTCGTGTCAAAGAGCACATCATCAGTCTTTGCAAAAATCGCACGCTATCAGGTACGGTTTTCTAAAGGGCTTAACAAACAATAATGAAATAAACGACGTCGTCATTATCTCGCTCTAATAGGGTGGCTTTGACGCAACGGTTCAGCGCAGGAAATGCATCCAACCAGTTTGCTGATTTTCGAAACGGATGTATCTTGCAATAATTTAAGCTTGCAGACAAGCGAGACTGTTTTTGCCTTCCACTGCCTTGTACTTAAAACACAAAATATGGAGTTTTCGAAAAACGTCAGCGCTTGAGATACATTGAATATCTTATTGAAATTTCTGCCGCAGCCCGAAGTGATGAAATCAATAGTCTTATCGTACAATGAACTACCTAAATTCTCGAATTACTAATAACGGTCTGGATCAGTAGTATTGAGCTGCTGCATAAGTTCTGTCCGATTTGAATTTTTCAGTTCAAAATGCTTTTTAAAGTCAACATTTTTCCATGATCAGCTTCCACGTTTTGAGCAGTTCCTTGGCTATCAGAGAAAGCAAGACTTGCGAAAATCTCTGTTGAAGAAGAAGCAAGAACTCAAAACTTTACAGCGTTCTTCTTCAAACCTGTCTTTTTTGACATAATAATGTCCCATTATGAGAACAGAATGGCATAAAATTTTAACATAGGTAGATAAAGAAACTTTGTGGATTACTCTGCAACCTAAAAGAGCCTATAAAATCTTCGCTGCCAAGAGATTTTTTTCGGCCGAATAAAAATAAAGCCGCTTTTTGACCTCGCTTCAGTACATGTGTGCATGCCCATTTACAAATTATGAAAATTTTACACTTGACGCGAGTCTAGCTTTACCCTAGCACTTCCAACTTTGGATTCATTGGTTGCTTGATCGCAAGAAGTTATTGCTTGTAGAACATTTAAAAAGAAAATCGATGTTCAATAAAATTTTACTAGCGACGTTTTCTTCGTGCAAATGACATGAGCCTGTGCATATACTGGCCTGTTACACCCTTATTCCGCATCTAATAAAAGTGCTTGAATAGAAGGGCGCATTATGGAGATTTTTTTTGCAAGAACATATCTTCTGTCTTAGTTGAGAACGTATCTCAGCCGTCTAAGGATCTTAGACCTGCAATCTCGTAAGAATGGGTAAATTATTGAAATTTGATATGGTCAGAAACAGCAAGAAAAGCGCTTTCTAATGATAAAAACAGCATCACATTAAAGGAAATCCCCTTAGAAAAGATAAGGTCAAAAAGTCGGATAGAACTTATGCAACAGCGTAGTATATGCAAGGAAATCTAATGCAGACCCAGTTGGGATCGAGAGATTTCAGCCATGTGTGAAAAAAAAAATTCTCGTAATGGTGACTTTCTTCGTACTCTCATCGTAATATTTCGTTATCCACTCTTCAAAAGCAGAGTTATTTTTGAGATGTATAGCACTGGTTTAAGCACTTGCAGCTTTTTCTTGTAGGATTTGGTACGGAGAGATTGGAAGAAATTTCTGTGAATTTCCAAAAAATGTTCTTTATGTTAAAATGCGAATGTACGCAGACATAGCGCACCATGTAGCTCATTTGAACGGGGACATGATTGTTCCATCCACTCTCCCCATACACGCCCAGCATGAGGTGGCATATGAGTTCAAAACGAAGTCCCCCTAGGCATCTCACAAAGGAAGGATGCTTGATCGCAGTGACGATTGGGTAAGCGGTGTATACCGCTTGTATACCGTCCCCAGACGGTGATCTCTAAACCGCATTCCATATCTGCTATGACGTCATTCTGGAGGGGTTATGAAGGATTTTTGGTGCAGCAGATAGTGGCTTGGACTGCGGAGCTGGACGTTGTGGGTTCGATTCCTTTGGGATGTCACGTTTTGCATTTTTGTAAATTTTAGCAGGCAAGTTGCAAAACCTGTCGACATCAAAAAAGTTGATTTTCACAATATGAAGCAATATATTTACATTTATTGGCACTGAAGCATCGTCTAAGCTGAAAACACTCGCTTTTTGCCTTTTTCATTGAATACTTTACTCAATTTTACACTGAAAAATTCCGAATTCGTGCTTAACATAGAGAGGAGCAGCCAGCCTGTCAAAAATGGCGTCCTTATCAGTTTTTGATGCACAATATGCTAATCAACTGCAATGTTCTGTCCATAATTGGTCACCTCTTACCGAGTGTTTTTAGGTTAGACGTTGGTTCAGTGCCAATAAATGTAAAAATTAGGTTGGTGCAAAAGTTCTTTCCGCCCAAATTCAAAAATTCATAACTTGTTAAATTCTCAACGAATCTGCAAGATCTAAATTTTGCTTAAGAGAGAAACTCATGCTCTTTGCATCTTTACCTGAACTGTTCGTTAATGTTTACAAATGAAGGAGATAGAAGCTCAAAACCAAAATCACTCAAAATCTGAATTTTTCGTGTAGGGTCATAAAAAATCGGAAACCTGCAACAAAAATCGGAGCAGTCAGTATTGTAGATTCTTTCACCAGCTCTTTCTAACGGTGCAAAGTTTGCACCGATTGAGCGTCTCTATGAAAAGTTATGATTTCCCTGAAAAATGCCAAAATAAATCAATTTCGCTCTTTTGTATTGCTTGCTCGAAATTCACAACTTTTGATAGAGACGCTCAATCAGCGCAAACTTTGCACCGTTAGAAAGAGCTGGTGAAAGAACCTACAATACTGACTGCTCCGATTTTTGTTGCAGGTTGCCGATTTTTTATGATTCTACACGAAAAATTCAAATTTTGAGTGATTTTGGTTTTGAGCTTCTATCTCCTTCATTTGTAAACATTAACGAACAGTTCAGGTAC